TCATTTAGCTGCTGCGTGTGATCTGTGGTGCATTATGGGAGTGACCCTCGCTCCTCGTAACAGCTCTGCATTCACAGCAGCTCCTCCAGCGCCTCTGAGACGGGACCATTCTGGGTTTATTAAAGCAAGCGGCACTCATTGTGTGGACACAGACTTTGGCGGATTTTTTACATTAATGCATCAGAATGCATTCAGAGAATTTGGACAATTGATCAACTATTTAAAAATTCCAATTATATTCCAATATATTCATATCCGAAATACGACATTTCAGCCTGTGAACGTAAAACCTGGTGTATTTTCCCCAACATTAATATCAACATAAACTTCTGTGTCATTTGTGATTTTAAAGTGTTTTTGAAAACGATTATGAACAGTACCAAAATCAATTATAAATCAAATACACCAGATAAACCAAATGTTATCATGATCAGAGTTCTTGATTAATTATACTGATTTAATAATAATCTACATTAAAAAAAAATCAGTATCCTGAGAAATATCAGTATTTCATAATTATAATAATTATTATTGTCATTGTTGTTATATAGTTGATATGCAATTATAGTTTATGTTAATATTTTTAACTAGATTTTATTTTTATTTGCTGTATTCATTTTAATTTTAGTTTAAGTATGTTAATTTGCGGTTTTGTCATATTTCATGATTTTTTGCAAATAATTTGTACATAGTTTAAGTCTATATAGTTTAAGTTTTAGTTTATTTTAATTTTAATTTAACAAACTTTTCTATATTTTATTTCAGATAATATTTTGTTATATTTTATTATATTACTTATTCGATTTCGAGTAATAGTATTTATTTTAGTATTTTTTTTTATTTAATTTAACTTAATTTAATTTGAAAACCTTTGGTTTTAGGTTTAGTTAACGATAATAACCCCATCAAATATTTATGCATTTAAAGACAATAAAGATTTACAAAAAAAAAAAAATTATGTTCTGCATTTCCTAAAATGTCAGATAATTACTTTGATAAAACGTGCGCTTGTCTCAAATCAGTCACTCGTTCATTACATAAATAGGTTATCCGTTACAGATCTGGGTTAAATGAAGACTTATGCCTAGTTCTTGGACATTTAAAATTTGTATTTATGTTCCATACATTTCTGGACACCTTTTTATTAACCTGAATACACGTTTTTATTTAATGACTTTAAATATGTCATGTGGTACAACCAAGTAAAAAGTAGTTTTGATTAATCGCATCCAAAATAAAAGTTTTTGTTTACATAATATATGTGTGTGTACCGTGTATATTTATTATGTACATATAAATACACACACATACAGTATATTTTGATGTATATCTTTATATTCATATAATCTATATTATTTATAAATATATTTAATATATAAACAACATTTTTCTTAAATGTATATTTGCATGTGTGTGTATTTATATATACATAATAAATATACACAGTACACACGCATATATTATGTAAACAAAAATGTTTATTTTGGATGCGATTAATCGCGATTAATCATTTGACAGCACTAGTATATTACATTTTCATTGGGTTATTCCATTTGACAGCCTGAACTAAGTTTGCCGTGTCATAAAAATGTCAAATTAACTGATATTTTTAGAGACTTCTTGACCTCGACACACTGACTCTGAATGTCATTTTGTGTTTTTCTTGCCACATGACAATGTATTGGTTATTCCACACTGACTGAATAAAATGTTAAAGCAAAGAAATAGATTTTTTTTTTCAAATAAATCATGTCGTGAAAAATTCTTACAAATGAAAAATTAATGATTACATTTAAATAATCAAACATAAAATTAAATACAAATCAAAATGTATTTTAATTCAATTTTTTGTGTTACTTTAAGCCCTCACAAAAACAAAACACCACAATTTTAATACAAGAACAATTTGAAGATTCTCAAATAATATAGACAGATATATAGACAGACGGACAGACGGATAGACAGAGATAGATAGACAGAGATAGATAGATAGACAGACGGACGGATAGATAGACAGAGATAGATAGATAGATAGATAGATAGATAGATAGATAGATAGATAGATAGATAGATAGATAGATAGATAGACAGATAGATAGATAGATAGATAGATAGATAGATGGACAGACGGATAGATAGATAGATAGATAGATAGATATATAGACAGACGGACAGACGGACAGACAGAGATAGATAGATAGATAGATAGATAGATAGATAGATAGATAGATAGATAGATAGATAGATAGACAGATAGACAGAGATAGATAGATAGATGGACAGAGATAGATAGATAGATAGATAGATAGATAGATAGATAGATAGATAGATAGACAGAGATAGATAGATAGATAGATAGACAGAGATAGATAGATAGATGGACAGACAGACAGACGGACAGACGGATAGACGGATAGACGGATAGACGGATAGACAAATAGACGGATAGACAGATAGATAGATAGACAGACGGACGGACAGATAGATAGATAGACAGAGATAGATAGATAGACAGACAGAGATAGATAGATAGATAGATAGATAGATAGATAGATAGATAGATAGACAGAGATAGATAGATAGATAGACGGACAAACAGACAGACGGACAGACGGATAGATAGATAGACAGAGATAGATAGACGGACGGACGGATGTATTAGACAGAGATAGATAGACAGAGATAGATAGATGGATAGATGGATAGATAGAGGGATAGAGGGATAGACAGAGATAGATAGATAGATAGATATACAGATAGATAGACAGATAGATAGATAGAGACAGACAGACAGACAGACAGACAGACAGACGGACGGATAGACGGATAGATGGATAGACAGATAGACGGATAGACGGATAGATGGATAGACAGATAGACGGATAGATGGATAGATGGATAGACAGTTAGATAGATGGATAGATACAGATAGTTAGATAGATAGATAGACAGAGATAGATGGATGGATGGATGGATGGATGGATAGACAGACAGACA